TTCCTTTATCCCTTTATTTTCTTGTTTGTATCTTTTATCATATTCCCTTATACTTCTGTGTTTTTTATAAAATATTTTTTCTTTTTCTTTCACTTCCCTACGAGAAGATGTCATCAGATTGGCAATATCCTATTGTAGAGCGGTGGTCGGACAAGCCCCCGTCTAGGGTATTATCTTAATTGATCGTACCTCTGCGGTGTGACAGGTTACCTGTAGATATGTATAGGTAATCGGTTAGTTTATGCAAGGTAACCGCAGGATGTCTGGGTTATAGTTTTATTGCTAACAGCTTTCACAAGAAGAGCTTTAATAAACAGAACTCACTGGCGCAACTTTGCCTAAGTGAAAAAAAAATAAAAAAAAAAAATAATGATTGTTAGTAAAATTTTAAATAAATATGTAATTAGAAAAAAATAAATATGAAATTAGATAAATAAAATTTTGATCCTTTTATACTTATCAATAGTAAATTAAATAAAAATCTATACTAAGAAATTTTTTATATTTAGAATTAGATTTTGAGGCTATATGTGATATTTTATTTTACATTTATTTTATTTTTTGAAAGCTAATCTTTTTTCTATATAATTGTATTATTGAAGATAAAGATAAATCAGCTAATAATTAAGCTGGCTTAACATTAACTTCTCAAATCAATTATTATCAACTTGAAATGACTCTGCTTCAAAACCATAATTAAAATTACAAAGCTATGGCTAAAGTTTCAAAACATTCTATACTCAAATTGTTAGTAAATTTTTGACAACTTTGTTGATATTGTATAAATAATTAAAAATATATGAAAAGTGCATATTATACTATATATGTGTAAATCAAATCATACAATTCAAGTATTAAAATAGTTAAAGCAGTGTTATTTATCACCTAATTTTTTTTTTATCAGAAGCTTACCCCCCTCCCCCCTCTTATTATATATTTTGATCAGGTCTTTATATAATTTTAAATTTTTTACCCCTCTCCCCCCTAAAAAATCCCCTGATTTTTATTGTCACGTCTCTTACTATTAAATTTTAGCAGCATTAATGAATATCAAACCTGTCCGATTACCTATTTAACTGACATTTGGCATATAGTTTAGAAATAACACGCAATTTACTTTTTTTTTTAGCAGAATGTTCGCTAAAGCTTATACGTAATAGTTATATCCTGGGCAGTTGGGTATAAGCGGGGCTGAAAGTCCCGCTTATAAACATAGTGCCCAGGGTATAACTGATTTATGCCCTGTGATCATAAAATTACAGTATTTTTATCGTTAACTATTGAATGATGGTCATGTGATACAAATCAATCGGGGCCGTTTTAGAGCCGATGCTTTATTAGTAAACCCAGAGCCGAGCCGTTAATCGGCTCGGCTTAGCCATTTGGCTTTTGGCACGTTTGCATCACTACTGCCATGCTGTACATCGAACACCTCACTGTTACGTGGTTTATTTTTATGATAAACTTCAAGTATGGCTTCACAACATTTAGCTATTAGGCGTCAAGAAATTATTCGAAATCTTGCAAATGTTAGACAACGCATCGAAGCGATAGTTGAGGGAAAATATGAGGTAGTCACTAGTATTGTTTCGTTAGGCACATTTCTTTAAAATGTTATTTAAAATTGTCATAAACAATAACAGGCACGATTAGTTGCAATTAGTAAATTAAAACCAATATCTGATATCCGTATAGCTTATGAAGATGGGCAACGACATTTTGGTGAAAATTATGTAGGTACTATCCTTATTTCTGTAGTTATTACTTTCAATCGACATAAAAATAGTATCTGTTTAATCGAATAGGTACAAGAATTAGTTGAAAAGAGTAAAGAGGTAAATTACAGTATCCTTTATCTTTAAAATCAATTGACCCCTTTTTGACTTAGCTTTAGCTTCCTTTAGATATTCAGTGGCATTTTGTTGGTCCATTACAAAGTAATAAATGTAAAATGCTTGCAGGTACGTACTTACGTTAATTTTGAATTTAATTATTTGCATATTAAAATTGAATTCCATTAAGCCCCTAATTTATTGAACAGCCATTCCAAATTTATGGGCGGTAGAAACGATAGATAGTCAAAATAAAGCAGATTTGATGAATAAAGTCAGCGCATCGCGAGAATCTCCGCTTCGAGTATTTGTTCAAGTCAATACTAGTAGAGAAGAATGTATGTCATTTAACAAATCAAATTTATAGAAATTTCCGATTAAGTTGTTTATTATTTTAATAACATTAGCCAAAAATGGTGTGTCCCCAGAAGAATGTATAACAGTCTTGAATCATGTTCAAGATAATTGTCCGAAATTACAACTTGTGGGATTAATGACAATTGGAGCTCCAAATCGTGATCCTAAAGAACCAAATCCAGATTTCATCGTATGGTCATTTTAATATTTTCTCTCTTTTACTCAATTGGTACCTTTTTGGCTGAAAATTATGTATATTATTTTATTAAATTAGCTATTAAAAAGTTTACGAGCTCAATTTCAAGAAGCAAGAGGAATAGAATTAGAATTAAGTATGGGCATGTCTGATGACTTTGAAGAAGCTTTAAAATTAGGTGCTACTAATGTAAGAGTTGGATCTGCAATTTTTGGCGCGAGACCACCCAAACATTGACTTTTAATTTTCACTTATATATGAATAAACGCAATTTTATGCAATTGTTCTTTCAGAGAAATAATTTTTGTAAAAAAATTATTGTTGGGAATGATGCTGAAATTGGTTGAAGCAAAAAATTTGGGTCTCAATTTAGATCCATAAAACCTACTAAACCTACTTATACTTGTTTATTATAAATTCTACCCATAAAGCTGGCCTATAACCCTAAAAAAAGCAAAAAATGTATTTTAAAAATTTTTAAATTTTTTAGCTTTAGCCAATTTTAGCTTTTATTACATAAACACCAAAATAGGTTTGGCATAATAAAATTTTTGGGTATGTCTTTGGTTTTTTAGATTTAAGAATATGCTCTATAGATATATTTTCAAAATTTTTTAAGATGGTTTTTTTATTAGGTTATACAAATTTAATAAATTGGTTTTTATAAGGTTATACAAAAAAATTTTTTTGGTTTTCATAAAATAGAGCTGTTTAAACTGACCTGGCCAGCTGGCTTTTTTTAAAAATTTATATATAAAAATTTTATAAATTATTTTAAAAATTTTTTTTAAAAACCTATTTAGTTATTAAAACATAAAAAATTTTTTATAAGTTTTCAAATTTTGAGTTGGCTGGGTTATGAAAACCAAGAATTTTTTTATATGTCTAATATAAAATTTTTAAAAATAATCTGTCAATTTGGTTTTTAATTTTTTTTAACTATTTTATATACAGTGCAAAACACTTAGAAATAATAATAAAAATAGTTAATTTTTAAAAGCTAATAGTTTATATTATAAAAATAACAAAAAAAACAGTAGTTAAGGTAATTTAAAAAATAATTATTTATTATTATTTTTTTCTAATTTAGCTATCTTGCTTTTGTTTATTTAGGATTAAGTTTTTTAATATTATATACTATATTTACAACTAAGCTAATCTAACTAAAACAAAGATTTGCTAAATATATATAATTTAAATTTTGTTGCTAGTAAGATTTAAATTTTTGTCTTGCCACTTGGATTGTGATAACTTATTAATTACATTAAGTTGTTATACTTCTTTTATAATAAATTTTGAGTAATCATTTTACTTTTTTTTTTGGCAATCCTGTTTATTTTATTATAAAAACAGAAATTTCATTCTTATAAATGAAGAAATTTGATCTATAGTATTTTGATTAGAATATAAATTTATATAGTTTTACTTTATAATTGCTATAATACCTACTTGCGAACTATTAAACCATTGTGTTATATTTAGGTGCGATCCATCTAGCAATACTTGGCCTTCTTCAAAAATTTAGAATTTACTTCAGACTTATTTTACTAGACTCTTTAGCTGGCTGTTGCCTGCTTTGTCAAAATTCCTGCTCTACAATTGAATATCATCAAATTAATAACACTTTCTCATAGAGAAGAAAAAAAGGAAAGTAAAAAACAAAAAAGGAAAATAAAATAAAAACTAATATATTAAAGAAAACGAATACTAATACTAAGGAGTAAAAATCTATACTAAAACTTAAAAGAAACTATTGCTAGAAAGAAGAAAATCTGCTAACTAGATAAAAACTTTTAACTATACAAAATAATGAATTACTATTAAGTGCAAAAGTTTTGACTACACTATAACTCATACCAGAGTTTAAAAATTATATATAAGATACTAGACAAATTAGTCTCTACTTCTATATTTATTTATCTAGTATATTAAAGTAAAATCTGATAGGAAAAACTTTATTGACCAGCTTGATTGTAGAAAGGTTAAAGCAAAGTCTTGAAGCATCATTTGTACAGATAACTATTGTATTTGAGGTACATATATACTGTTATAGAACCGTTTATTATTTTATTAGATTAATATTCCGATATTGTATAATTATTATTGTTATTATT